CTACTCCAAAAAATTAATTACAATGTTGTGTTGATTACATCACAGTTATTAAAATATGGTAAATGCTAGTTTACGTAGTATTTTAATATAAGAACTGCTTGTCAAATATTCTCTCGTCTAGTGAATAATCTCTATCGAAAAGCAATGTTACTGTATTTTCCTGGTCTTTATGTATTTTTATTTGTGATATGTCATGAAATTCCTTATAGTCTGCAACTACAATTGCTGGGCGATTTTCTACATTATTGATATCAAGCTGCACTACTGTGTCGTTTGATATCAATGCACCATTCCAATGTCTTGGATGATAGCTGTTTATAGATGTCAATGCCAGCAAATTCGAATTTAATGGCAGAATTGGCCCACCAGCAGATAAATTATATGCAGTACTTCCTGTTGGAGTAGATAATATTATTCCATCTCCTCTGAGTTTTTCTATTTTCAACTTATTGTTAATAGTCACATTCATTTCCACTATTTGATTTGTTCTTCTGAAAACATATACTTCATTTACTGCTGTGTAATAATATTTTTTGTTGTGTGTATCTACAGCCTCCATGTTTAGCAGAGTTAACTTGGTAGGAATTGCATGTTTTATACAGTCGATAATGTTCTCTTTGTATTTATTCATTAAAAATCCGACGTTGCCGGTGTTTATGCCATATACATGTATATTACCATTACCTATAATGTAGTTATGTAGAGTGCGTAACATAAAGCCATCACCACCAACTACTATGAGTATATCAACCTTAGATTTATTGTCTTCCGCAATATTGATAAACCCAAAAGCTTCTAGAAGCTGAGAAATCTCCTGCGACTTTGGTGACTCAGAAGCAACATAGCCTATCATTCAAATATAAGTGGAAAATTAAAAAATATCTCCATACTTATCATTGAACTTAGCTAACCTACTGGTTTTGCTTGCTGCTCCACTCGTTAGGCTTCCTGTCCATGCAGGATGGGTTAAAGGATCTCTATCGAGTTTTATCTTATCACCTTCTTTTCCATAGGTAGAACGAGTTTCAAATTCTTCACCATTTGTCATAACTATAGTAATCTTATGATAGTCAATATTATTTGTTGCCATTGTTATTTTTGATCCCTGACCAACTAATATGTTAAGCATTTTGATTTTCTAAGTCAATAACAAAGTATGGTAACGAAAAAGCTTTAAATGTAGACCGTATTACAGTTAACTGCAAGCTCTTTTGAGCATTAAAGTAACATCACTGTCTTCTCTAATCTTTTTGAATCCAGCTTTTTCATAAACGCGAATTGCACCAATGTTAGATGTATTTGAGTCAATAAAGGCATACTCAAAATTTTTAAAAACAAACTCATCTAAAAATATACTCAAAACTTGTGTACCAATTCCTCTGCCTATATAGGCCGGTTCACCGATATACCAGTCTATAGCGGCACAGCTCTCAGGGAGATGAGGTATTGTAGGTGGAAAATCATGTTTGCTGTAATATTGAATATAGCCAATATTTACTTCATTGAAGTTGATAATAAAAGCGTGCATTGGCTTTTCAATCGTTTCAGTTGCCGGCACTAACCGTTTAAATCTTTTGGTATAATCGCTATATTTTCTTTCAATTAATTCTATTGTCCAGTGTATGTCTTTATCCCACCATAGCTTCACATGAGGTGCCTCAAGCCATTTTAGTAGCAGTGGAAAGTGTTCTTTTTTTAATAATGTAAATGTGATCATAATAATTAAGTATAGACAAAGTACTCATACAAATTCATATATTTTATGTATATAATAACTTTAAAATTTATGTATACAAAAATATGGATGATTTCATAAGGGTTAAAAATGCGAGAGAGCATAATCTGCAAGGTGTAGATGTTAATATACCAAAAAATAAGTTAGTCGTTATTACTGGGCTCAGTGGTTCTGGTAAATCGAGTTTAGCATTTGATACGATCTATGCAGAAGGACAACGAAGGTATGTAGAAAGTTTGTCAGCTTATGCACGCCAATTCCTTAATATTCAAGATAAACCAGATGTTGAGTCAATAACTGGCCTTTCACCCGCCATATCTATTAACCAGAAATCAATTTCAAAAAATCCGAGATCAACGGTTGGTACTGTCACTGAAATTTATGACTACTTACGCTTAATATATGCACGAATAGGTATTCCTTACTCACCTGCAACTGGACTGCCAATATCTAAGCAGACCATATCTCAGATTGTAGATGCTATAGTTGCATTGCCTGTTGAAACTAAAATATACATACTTGCACCAATTGTGCGTGGTAGAAAAGGTGAGCACCTTAAAGAGATATCGGAAATCAAAAAACAAGGTTACGTTAGATTAAAAGTAAACGGTGAAGTATATGGCATAGAAGATCTGCCTAAATTGGATAAAAATAAGAAGCACAACATATCAGTTGTTGTGGATAGAGTGTCAATATCAGAGGATGTAGGTAATCGCTTGCCGAGTAGTGTAGAATCGGNCAGTGGTTTGATATATGTAGAGATTGTCAGCTTACCCGAAGATCATAATTCAGAATACAAAAACGGTCAAATATTTACCTTTTCAGAAAATTTTGCTTGCCCGGAGTCTGGATTTACTCTTGAAGAAGTGGAGCCAAGGTTATTCTCCTTTAATAGCCCATATGGTGCGTGTAGTGAATGTAACGGCCTTGGTAGAAGGCTAAGTGTTGACACAAAACTGATTGTACCTGATGAAACCCTTTCAATATCTGAAGGTGCTTTGAAACCCATAGGACCGATATTCAATAATGCGCAGGCGAAGCAGAGGTTTTTGCAAGATGCCGTTTTATCATTAGCTAAAATATACAAATTTAGTCTTGATGTTCCATGGAAAGGCATCAGTCAAGAAGCAAAGGATGCAATACTTTTTGGCTCTAGAGAGCCAAGGTTTGAAGGCTTAGTTCGTATATTAGAAGGCCAGATGGATTACAATGAAGAGCTTATAGATCATTATTGCTCTATGGTGGATTGTAAGGAATGTAATGGTTTTAGATTAAAAAAAGAAGCACTTACGGTTAAACTTAACGATAAACATGTAGGGGAGGTGGCAAGACTCAGTGTTGACGAATCTCTTGATTGGTTCAAGAAGTTACCAGAAAAGCTAACAGAACAACAAAAACAAATCTCGGAGAAAATATTAAATGA